ACACATTCACTCACATGCAGTCACACCATATTTGCTGATAGTGGAGCTTCCCGCACGATCAGATACTCCACCCTCAGCAAAATGAGCTCATTCATTTTTTATTTTCCATAGGAAAATATTTCTTTATGCTTTTGGGCTGGATTGACTCGCATAAAATCCTTTTTACAGGGACTTACGACCTGATCAGTCCCCACAGGTAGCTTTCCCCTCAGCCAGTTGTAATCTGGAAAGCCCCTTATATTTGCTCTCCCGAGAATTTTCAGCGCCGTTATTCACTGTTGCAGGCCTGCTTAAAACAGAAATGAAAAATAGAGCTGATTGTTAGCTCATAAAAACAAAACAAATCACCTGACAGGTTTTCTTTAAGTGCACTGTTACAAAATAATGGGCCCAATTTTAGACATGTCCATGTTTCCTAAAACTCCCTCTATTAAAACAAAACACCAACAACAAACCTACTGACAGAATCAACCCATCACACACAACAACCTTAAACACACAAATCTTGCCACCACATAATTTCACCTCCTCAATACACCAAAAGTCTCATTAAAACCACTCAATTTGCACACAAAAATCACCCCCTTTACTCTTAAATTCAGCATAAGACCCCTTACGACATCATATAATCACTAAACTATAAATTCCCTACCCCAATCTGCACTTCTCGTCTCTGCTATGCTTCCTCTTCCTGAAAGTCACAGTCACACACACACTCAGGAAGTTCCTTCGTCACCACACTCCAGCTAATTTGCATACTGAGTCATCTCTCAAGAAGCTGTAACAACAGAAACATATGTTTAAACATCACCAACTCATTAAATCATTTTATTTCTTCCAACAGTGATCACTAGTGTTGATCACTCAGTACGAGAGCACTCCTAAGTCACTCTTTTTAAAACTACTTTAATCACTTTTTGTTTTCATAACTCCCTTTGTCATATGGCTTATTCTATTCCTCAATTACAAACTCAAATGTATTTTATTAAACATTCACACCATTGTATCATTCATACAAAATAGCAAGCTGTTCTTCATTGCCTATGTTTGTGTTCTTAGCCAGGTTTAATCAGTGTCTATGCATTAAACTCCATGAGCTTGTCTTGTCTTTATAAGTTTAATGCATTTTCTGTTTGTGTGTGTGAATTTGCATATGGTGCTTTTACAGTGTGTCAGACTCCTTCATAATTTTGCCTTTAAACAGTCAATTTTCTCCTCCCCAAATTTACTAACCCAAATTCTGATTTCCTACCTTAAATAGCAGCATTCCTTGTCCTCAGCCAGAAGGTAGGGCTCCACTTGCCACTTTCCACCTCCTAGCCCAGCGGCCTTACCCGTCAGGACCCGTCTTCTTACTGAAGCCGAGAGTAATCGTGACTGTGCCTGCCTTAGGTTGTCCCAGGGTTTCGAGGTGGGATCTTACCCGTCATGGGCTATCCAGCCTTCCATACTCGCCTGATACGGGGCCCAAGTGGGCAGGGGAGGGAACACACTGGCTCTGGGAATTAAAGGAATGTAAGCTGCTTCCTTCATTGCAACTTATATTGATCTCACTTCTGACTCCTTCCTAGAATAATTTCACATATGGCACTTTGTGTATGTGTGTGTTTTCTATTCATTAATGTAATTGTCAGTTATTTTCTCTCGGTCAGGGAACCACATTATTTTCTCTCTTCATTTTACCTTCTTTTGTTTGTTTGTGACGTTCTACTTTAGTTCTACTAAACCTTGATGTAAAAACAATACTCCCTTATTTCACGCACACACTGCCTTTTGCCTACACACACACTTCTCTCTCAGACTTCCTCTGTTCACACATCACCTTATATGGGCATGCAAACTTCCTGTCACCCACACCATTTCCTGTTACACACACACCGCACGCAGCTGCTCAGAGCAGCTCAACTGCTTTGCTGTTTCTCCAGGCTAATCAAACTTATTTTGTATTTACAATCTACAAACCCTCTGTAATTCTACTAACTTTTGACCTAAAATGTAGCATCATTCACACAATGATTTCATAATCCTCTCACACACACCTTTTAAATAAACTAAACTCTTATAACATCACTCATGCCTCTCTCAAATTAAAAACACTTTCAAACTTTAAAACGTCCTACTTTACATCACCCAAGAAATACCTCTCACACCTTTATTCATCATGTCAAAGCTTCTAGTCACCGCATTCACACTTAAACTGTGACTAGAGTTAAGGAATATAACTCAACACACTTTCCTAAGAGTATTTTAGACATGCTTGTCATAATCAAAAAGAGCAAGTAAAAACAAACAAACAAAAAAATTGAAACCTCCATTAATTCTCACCGCACACACAAGAAATTGAAAAAATAAAACCCACCAGCAACTAATGCTGGAGAAAAGTTACTACTGAAAGTGATGTGTTAGTCTTAAGTATATACAGTGCACTCAATCTATTTATATATCTACATCCAAACTCAGTCAATTACTATACATCCACTACGGCAACTCAAAACTTTATTTATAGTCCTCTAATAAACATAAATGGCATTTGAAACACACACTCAACAATGTTTGCAGCAGTATTTGTAAAACCAACTGTGGCTTAAACAGTTCACTGCTTACTCATTTGCATTTTCACTCACACACACCGTCTAAAAATAGCTCCAGCATTGCCTCAGACTCCTTTCACACAGAGATCTCTTATTACAAAGACGTCTTATATTTACAACTACTGTCAGATCTGTCAGCTTTAGCGCCTAACCAATTTTGACAAATTTCAGTTAACGGTCTAACCGATAAAGTCCAACTTTTTTGTAATCAATTAACCAGTATCTGTCCAACAGTTTCTGGCCTCATCTCTAAATCCCTAACTCAATTTAAAAGTGTCCAACACCCAAGGTCCAACCTTTGCTGCCCAAAAAAGCGCAGATACCGTTCCAAACGGTAAGGAGATTCTAACTCCTAGTTTAATTCCAGGATGCCCTGTACCCCACAGTTAAACCACACTGAACTATCCCTCTTCGCCGAGAGGTCAATGTCGCGCGTCCACGACAAGGAGGGAGCGTAACCTCCGGGCTCTGCGCTTCCTACCAGTCCAACTGGCGTTCTAGAATAATTTATAATACTTTGAAACAACAATAAAACACCCAACAAAGTGTAAGACTGAAGCAGGTCCAACCTTATTAACCAAAAAATAACCAAATTCCCTAACCTACTAAAATCATTTCCAGCAGTCCAACTGCTTCCCGCGGTCCAACCGCATTAAATCCTTTCCAGCAGTCCAACTGCTTTAAATCCTCAGTACTGTCATGACATTCTCATCAAAATCAAAACAGACATCCACCAGTAACTTCAGTGAGTAGACTTAAATTTTATCATATCCAATTTGGCACACTTTGGAAATAATTCAACAGGTAGTGCCTTACCTTTTGGATAAGCCGGCTTATGTCCACTCACTTAGACCACTGGAATTCATGTCTGCCCGTCAGACCACCTAAGACCCCGGATTTCTCCGTCTAAACCTCCAACTCTCCCTCCTCAATAACCGGACGAAGCCCCCAAATGTTAAGATTCAAAAATTGAGGAAGGGTACAAGAGGTGATCGAAGAATAACCACACCAATCCGGCCGGGTGAAGTCAAACGATGATTTTAATGAATACACGCGTGGGAAGACAACTCTGTACGCAGACAGGAAGTAGTCTTCGACTTAATCAAAGCATGAACAGATATTTTATAGCATCAGGGTTTGTTTACTGACGCCCCTTCATGCGTCACAGATACATTTTATACATAGATCAGATCAACATCATCATGACTTTTCACCCAGAAAACCATCTTCTATTTTCAGGGCTTGGTACTTTCCGTTCTCTCCTCTAAATAAATCTAACTCATGTGTGTGTATGTGTTGACCTCACATGCTCTTTGTGTCACCTCTTCACCTACTGTCTGTGTCTCGTCCTCAAATGCTCTTTCTCAATTCACCTGTTGCACTTCTGACCTTTTTACCAGACCAGAAGCTCACTGAGACTATGTGTATGTCTTCTACTAAATAAATGTTTTAACCAAGAACCTCTACTAAAACCTTAATATAAAATGATCTGATATATAAGTGTTTTGTAAGCATGTATTGCAATTCCTTCTATGGCTCCAAGTCACTTGCACAATAGATTGTCCGAACATCGCGCCGAACAAAGCTTCCGACCCCCAATTAATTGACCGAGCTCCAACTCTTTAATAAGCACAGATATGCATTGTGTATAAAATAGTCATAACTGCTTAGGCCTTCTTAAAGCTATCTGTTACATTGTTAAAGCCTCGTCTTAGCCTGCGGCTCAAAATAACTTCCTGCTTTCACTTCTGCATACAACTTCCTGTCAGCCTGCAACTCAGTCTTTCTGAAAGAGACACTGTTTAAACCTTTGAATGCAATATCCATGCTGCAGATTATATTTTAATGCAATAGTAATAATGACAATTATTTAACAATACAGTAAAATAATTTCCCTTCTCGACACAGTCTAAGAGTAAAAGATGGTTTGATATGTGACGTTCACGTGGCCTTTAACGTAGGATGTCACACAGAGAGCTGCTTGGTGACAAACGGGGTTATTTAAGATTCTTCACACAGACCTGATGATGTCAAGACAGTTTCTGCACTGCAGTCCTTGTCTGAGTGATCACGTGATTGCTGATAGGTTCCCACATGAGCTCCTGTCTCTGTACCTGTGGAGCTAATTATTAGTGATGGTGTTATTTACACCTGTGAAGTCTGAGGTCACATGACCAATCATGCTTGATCCTTGCGATGAACTCTACTTCATCAATAACAAAGATGATCTGAGGCTGCTGCCCAGCTCCCGTTAAGCTTGTTAACTCACAGATTACCATCAGGATCCGCTCTCTGGCTGACAGTCAGGGGGCGGGGCTTGCCCCAATCTAACAACGCCCCCTGACCTCAGCTACACACTGTGTGTGTCAGTGCGCCTGTTTGACCAGCTTTATACGTTTCAGACACTGTGAGGACATTTGACCACACTGACAGGCTTGTGTCTGTGTGATTAAAGTGGATTAGTGTGTGCTGGGGAGCAGTAGCAGTTGGAGGCGAGCAGCAGGCGGCTGGCAGCTCTGACATGTGAGTACATTTCTGTCTGTTTCCATTCAGTCTGCAGACAGGAAGTAAAAGCAGACTTTTATTTTTTGAGTCACAGGTGTGTGTGTGGTGGGATTGAGTTTTTCTGAGTGCTGTAGAGTTGAGCTGCAAATAAAAAGGCTGCAGAAAGATTCAGAGTTTGCTGTAACCGTGTTTTACACTCAGCTGAATAAAGAACAAGACGGTGCTGAATCTTGAGAAAGAAAACCGAGCAGCTCGATGTCTCTTTGGTCAGTTTGAAATATCTACATCAAACTGTGGTCTCACCCTCAGCTGTCCGTCTGAAGCACAGATAATCAATAGACTAAATAAATCAATTACTTTCCTCTGTGTTAAATCCAGTAAAGTGAAACACACTCAGATCTGCTGCTGTTTTTCTATCTTTGTGAGGTTGTTTATTCTCACCTCAGGGGTCAGAGGTCATGACGGTATAGGTTATGAAAGCATCGTGTCACTGAGGGTCCTTACAGAGGCAGACAAACGTGCGTGTTGGTGCTTGGTACTGACAGCCATGCTCTGTGAGCCTCTTTGTTTCAAACACATACTCAGGCTGACGGCTGGTCATGTGACTACAGCACAGAGACATCATTATCATTTTACTCACTCTGAGATGATGATCAATAATCTGATCAGTTCCAGTGATCTGAGGTTTTGCTGTTTGAATGGTTTGATGTCTTTGCAGTGAACACTTTTAAAAGATATTTATTGATTAATGTGCTGAAATAGTTTATGGATTATTTATTGATGTTTTATTCTGAAATTCAAACAGAGCTGAAGGAAAAGGGTTTTCTAGTTTTAATTTCCAGTGCCATGTCTGTAGAGCTGCTGTGTTATTTTCAGCAGTCGCCTGAGTGTCTGTGAACGCAGCCTCGGTGTAGCAGGAGTTTATCAGCAGGGGGTCTGGACTCCATCCAGGTCGTCACACCTTCCCTTCAGCTGCTCTGTCACCTTAAGTCCAGGTTGTCACGACTACAGAGTGCACCCGGCAGCGGAAGCAGATTCCTTTATTCCAGAGCGCTGTTGCTGATGTCCCGTTTACAATAACTTTAATTAACTGTTAACTGTCAGGAAGCACTCCACCAAACCGCTTTGCTCAGAACGTGTTGGATGCACGACTGGACCTCAGCTCTGCACGCGACACAGCTGACCATCAGATTGAGCCGACTCTGTGAGCGTTTCAGGTACAATGGTTTAAATCGCGTCTCACACAAAGAAGTATAAAGGAGTATTAAGACCACATTAAGAAAAAAAAATATTGGTGACAGTTTTGAGATTAAAGACATAATTCTATTCTTAGGAAGAAAAAAAAGCAGAAAAATGTATAGATTACAGCTGTTTCAGGACAAAGCGCCACGGCTGCTGTAGCCTCTGAGGTAGTGAGGTCGTACTTCAGGATCAGTTTTAGTTAAAGGAAGAAAATGATTTGAATTTCAGCTCTGGGACACGATCAGCATGACGACGCTGAAGAGTTGGTCAGCTTTACACAAAATCCAACAGATGTGAGATCATCGATGGTCACAGCCTCGTGCAGTATACAGGATAGATGTTGTATCACAGCACGGCTGATCAGTTGGTTTCAGTGACTCATCTACACGAGGCATGTTTAAGAGGGGAAGCAGCTGTAGCAGTTTTTCTTGAAACAACTTTTCTCAACATTTAGACTTTATTTTCAAAATGATAAACAATATTTGTTTTTCCTAATGTCACCCCAATACTTATCACTACTTCGATACCCACACCTCACTAAATCCTGTTTTTCCACCTGAGAGACATCATTAAGTTGAGCTTTGTAGCTTCTAAAGAGGAGCTTAGGGTGCTTTCATGTGCTCCTGTTTTCTTTACTCAGTAAATCTGCAGGTAATTCGAAATGCTGTCGTTCACTCCTTACTCGATAAAACAGAGTCCAAAAGCACCCACTACTGATGTCTTTTTATCTACTTTTTAAATGTTCTGTTATCTTAAATTTGTTTTCTATGAAGCATTGACTCTTGTGAATTGTATCTGTGGAAAACACCATATAAACACTAATGGTAGCATTAACTACAATCTGAGAGGGAGAAACTTTTCCCACCTACCTCTGAAGTACTCCAAAGTACCTCTAAAATAACGAAAAGGTACTCAGGACTTAAAAATTGTGAGAGTTCTGCTTTCCTTTAAAGCATCCAAGTGTTTTTCCTTTGTTTTCCGGTACCTGCACTTTAAGTATCACCATGAATCAGTAAGTACTTTTCTCAGGCTGTATCCGTATTTGTAATTGGGGGTGAGCCACAGGAAGACACAAACCTCACAAACAGCGCCTCAAATTTTTAGCTTTTATCCTTAATTAGGCATCATAGTCTGTAATTCCACTTCCTGTCCTTTCACCAGACAGAGAGCGAGCTGGAGATCACAGGTGACATCATCAGCAGGTGACATCCTTCCCATGGTGCCCTGCAGCCTCAGAGGTCACCATGGAAGACCAGTCTTTCCCAGAATGCCAAGCTCAGGAGCTGTTTGATGAGTTTGTATCAGCATCAACCTGCAGGGCGGCGCTGCGCTCCTTCAGCCAGCTTTGTGAACATCTGCAGCTGGACCCGAGCACTGCCGAAAGGCCACTGTACCGACCGATTAAACGCCGCCTTAACTACTGGAGGGCGAATGGTCTGTGGGCCAAGCTGGACCGGAGGGGGGCGCAGGAGGAGTACCAGAGGGCACGAGCCTGCAGCGATGTGACTGTACGTGTTTAAAAAAATACAGCAGGAGCTTTGGTTCAAACATACTAAGACATGTTACTCAGTCATTTTATTAGGAACACCTTACTACTTCATAGATTGACTGTTCATGGCAGAGAAATTAAAACAGCATTTACAGATTTTGGTTTTTGGTCTTTGGTCTTAAAGTAATATGACCTTGAACTGTTGATATAAGGCTTTACTTTAAGGTTTAAAAAAAAGAAGGGATGAATGTGTCTGATCGTCTGTTATCTCCTCTCTCGCTGGCCAGTGTGTTATCATTGGTGCAGGGCCTTGCGGTCTGCGGACAGCAGTGGAGCTGAGCTTCATGGGAGCTCGAGTGGTGCTGCTGGAGAAGAGGGACTCCTTCTCCAGGAACAATGTGCTCCACTTATGGCCTTTCACCATCCACGACCTGCGGGGCCTTGGAGCCAAAAAGTTCTATGGAAGGTTTTGTGCCGGCTCCATCGACCACATCAGTGAGTCAGCATTCTGCTTCTGTCTGATCAGAGCAGCCAAACCATCTAGTCAGCACTTCCCGTTTCCTCTCTGCAGGTATTCGCCAACTGCAGCTTGTCCTGCTGAAGGTCGCCCTGCTCCTGGGGGTCGAAGTTCATGTCAATGTGGAGTTTAAAAAGCTGGTGGAGCCAGCAGAGGACCAGCACAGACACAGTACGGCTTAACAGTTTGAACAAAGGGGCGGCTGTATGAATAATTAAAGCCAGACAATGCTGTATGTATTGCTAGAAGAAAACGGAAGTGTGTTCACAGCTCACAGTTGCAATTTTTACATGCGAACTGAGTTAAACTGTCAGCCAAAGTGACAATGGGGGTATGTCTGTGAAGGTTCTCAGTCATCCAGGTCATCGTAGTCAAAGGAGCTTGCAAAGAAAAGCGTCTGGACTTCTTTAAGTTACTTGAAGACGTTTCACCTCTCATCCGAGAAGCTTCTTCAGTTCTAAGGTCAAATGGTGGAGAGTCCCAGATATAAACCTAGTGGGAGTAACCCCCCACAGAGGGACAAAAGGACCCCCTGATGATCCTCTAATCGCCTGAGCCAAGGTGTGAAACTGGGTGTGGGTCCCAATCAGCCAGAGTTTCGGGTGAGTTCATTGTGAAACCTGGCCCCACCTTATCATGCGAATTCCTGAGATCAGATGGCCCAGGATGTGAGTGGGCGTTAAGGCGTCTGGGAAGGGATCTCAAAACTGGATTATAGATGGCAGAGAGTTGGTGTCGTAAACCCCCGCCTCTGTTCAAAGATGGTCGCTCACAGTGGACATAGATGGCTTCTTTCACTCCTCTTTCAAACCATCTGTCCTCTCTGTCCAAAATGTGAACATAGGCATCCTCGAAAGAGTGTCCTTTATCCTTAAGATGCAGATGGACTGCTGAGTCTTGTCCTGTGGAGGTGGCTCTTCTGTGTTGTGCCATGCGCTTGTGAAGTGGCTGTTTGGTCTCTCCAATGTAGAGGTCTGAGCATTCCTCGCTGCACTGTACAGCATACACCACATTGTTAAGTCTGTGTTTTGGCGTTTTGTCTTTCGGGTGAACCAGTTTTTGTCTGAGCATGTTGCTGGGTCTGAAATGCACTGGGATGTCATGCTTGGAGAAAACTCTCCTGAGTTTTTCTGATACACCGGCTACATAGGGGATGACAATGTTGTTGCGTCTGTCCTTCTTATCCTCCCTCGCTGGTGTCTGGTCTTCTTTTCTGTGCCTCTTTGCTGACTTTAAGAACGCCCATTTAGGATAGCCGCACGTTTTGAGTGCTTCCTTTACATGTGTGTGTTCCTTCTTTTTTCCTTCAGGCTTAGAGGGAACATGTTCTGCCCGGTGGTGTAGGGTCCTGATTACTCCAAGTTTGTGTTCCAGAGGGTGATGGGAGTCAAAGAGGAGGTACTGGTCCGTGTGTGTGGGCTTCTGGTAAACTTTGATGTTGAGGTTGCCGTTCTCTTCAATGTGCACAGCGCAGTCCAGGAAAGGCAAACAGTTGTCCTTTGTGTCTTCCCTGGTGAACTTGATGTTTTTATCCACAGCGTTAATGTGCGCAGTGAAGGATTCCACTTCCTGTGTCTTGATTTTGACCCAGGTGTCGTCCACATATCTGTACCAGTGGCTGGGTACTCTTCCTTTGAAATAGCCAAGAGCCTTCCTTTCCACTTCCTCCATGTAAAGGTTGGCTACAATAGGTGACATGGGGGAGCCCATGGCACAGCCATGTTTTTGTCTGTAGAAGCCTTCGTTGTATTTGAAATATGTAGTGGTGAGGCAGAGGTCTAACAGTGTGCAAATCTGATCAGGTGTGAAGTTGGTCCTGTCCTCCAAGGCTCTTTCAAAGGAAGAGTACCCAGCCATTGATACAGATATGTGGACGACACCTGGGTCAAAATCAAGACACAGGAAGTGGAATCCTTCACTGCGCACATTAACTCTGTGGATAAAAACATCAAGTTCACCAGGGAAGACACAAAGGACAACTGTTTGCCTTTCCTGGACTGCGCTGTGCACATTGAAGAGAACGGCAACCTCAACATCAAAGTTTACCAGAAGCCCACACACACGGACCAGTACCTCCTCTTTGACTCCCATCACCCTCTGGAACACAAACTTGGAGTAATCAGGACCCTACACCACCGGGCAGAACATGTTCCCTCTAAGCCTGAAGGAAAAAAGAAGGAACACACACATGTAAAGGAAGCACTCAAAACGTGCGGCTATCCTAAATGGGCGTTCTTAAAGTCAGCAAAGAGGCACAGAAAAGAAGACCAGACACCAGCGAGGGAGGATAAGAAGGACAGACGCAACAACATTGTCATCCCCTATGTAGCCGGTGTATCAGAAAAACTCAGGAGAGTTTTCTCCAAGCATGACATCCCGGTGCATTTTAGACCCAGCAACATGCTCAGACAAAAACTGGTTCACCCGAAAGACAAAACGCCAAAACACAAACTTAACAATGTGGTGTATGCTGTACAGTGCAGCGAGGAATGCTCAGACCTCTACATTGGAGAGACCAAACAGCCACTTCACAAGCGCATGGCACAACATAGAAGAGCCACCTCCACAGGACAAGACTCAGCAGTCCATCTGCATCTTAAGGATAAAGGACACTCTTTCGAGGATGCCTATGTTCACATTTTGGACAGAGAGGACAGATGGTTTGAAAGAGGAGTGAAAGAAGCCATCTATGTCCACTGTGAGCGACCATCTTTGAACAGAGGCGGGGGTTTACGACACCAACTCTCTGCCATCTATAATCCAGTTTTGAGATCCCTTCCCAGACGCCTTAACGCCCACTCACATCCTGGGCCATCTGATCTCAGGAATTCGCATGATAAGGTGGGGCCAGGTTTCACAATGAACTCACCCGAAACTCTGGCTGATTGGGACCCACACCCAGTTTCACACCTTGGCTCAGGCGATTAGAGGATCATCAGGGGGTCCTTTTGTCCCTCTGTGGGGGGTTACTCCCACTAGGTTTATATCTGGGACTCTCCACCATTTGACCATAGAACTGAAGAAGCTTCTTGGATGAGAGGTGAAACGTCTTCAAGTAACTTAAAGAAGTCCAGACGCTTTTCTTTGCAAGCTCCTTTGACGACAATGGGGGTATAAGGCCTGAAGTCAGACAACATTTTACCTAGAGTGAAAGTGTTGAAAGAAATCATTGGTGTAACCTTGTTGATGTTCATTAGAAAACACAGAAGCAGGTGAATAGTAGCCATCATCAGGGTCATAAACTGAGCTGCAGAATATGTGAGCGAAAGAAATGAAAAACAGACAGTACGTATGAAATTATCTTTCAGTCCTAAAAGCACTTAAAATGTAGATTCCTCAACTTTCTGTGTATCTATGTACCTGTCCAGAGCTGGGCTGGAGAATGGAGGTGAGTCCAAAGAATCACCCTGTGAGTCAGCTGGAGTTTGATGTAATAATCGGAGCAGATGGACGCAGGAACACGCTGCCAGGTACAATAACACTAACAGGTATAAAAAAAAGTAGTCATGTACATCAGCATCATCAGGTAAATCAACATCATCGGGCATCATAGGCAAGTACAACAAGATCATCAGGTACATCAACATAGTCAGGTACAACAACACTGTCAGGCACATCAAAATCATCAGGTACAACAACTTCAGTTCTTCTAAGGGTTTTTGTGTCTTCCAGTCCATCTGAAAGTTGTAACCTACTTTTGAATCAGTACTGCAGTGTAAGCCTTTTTCTCACAGTCTGATGGAGGTTAATCCACCTGTAAATCTGAACCCTGACTGCTATATAGAAACAGCATCATTATAACATTTCAGACTGGTATGACACTTCTCTGGACTATGTGCTGTTCGACACCCCTTTTCTAAAATGTGGACACTGTGTACCTGACCATGTTGTCCTATATCCGTGTGTGTGAACAGGTTTCAGGCGTAAAGAGTTCAGGGGGAAGCTTGCCATCGCCATCACAGCAAACTTCAAGAACAGAAACACCACAGCTGAGGCCAAAGTGGAGGAGATCAGCGGTGTGGCATTCATCTTTAACCAAAGGTTTTTCCAGGAACTACGGCAGGAAACTGGTTTGTTCCTAAAAGTTGACACACACCTGGAGTCTGCATTCAGAGACTCTAGGTGTGTGTGATGTTCACCTGTGTCTGCCTGTTTTAGGGATTAACTTGGAGAATATTGTGTACTACAAAGACGACACACACTATTTTGTGATGACGGCAAAGAAACAGAGTCTATTGGAAAAAGGAGTAATTCTGCAGGTAACACACACACACACACACACACACACACACACCTGGAGTCATTCTCTATCCATCCCTCCGTCCATGAGCTGAGTAATGAACCCACGCCATTGCTGTTGAATAATTTTAGCATTTCGAGGTGAATCTCATCCAAAACTTGCATCTTGCTCTCTGGGAGCTTCTTAACCACCCCAGTAGCCTCTCCAATGAAAATGCTTCTTCTGAGTCTTCAGACTTTCTTTACTCTTGTCAGTAGTCCTTCTCCGTGGCCTCTCTAAACTCCTTCCACACTGTTTTGATTTTGACTGTCAAAACCACAGCTCTTTCTAGCTTCCTGGCACCTATCTGCTTTTCAGCAGACCCAGAGGTCAACTAGAAAGAATGGCTGTGGCCCACATCTGTTCACATCTGCAAGGTTTTTGAACATGGCTCACTGCCCCCTCCTTATCCAAGGATACATGACAAATTCTCCTGGAGGTGAGAGTGAAAACCCTCATTTACATGGGATTTCCAATTCACCTTCACCACCTGTTTGGGTTTACCAGGTACGTCTGGAAGCCTTCCAGAGAGTTCTGAAGATAGTTACCCTGAACTGGGGTCAAGCGAAGGAACGGCGCCTGTCCGGTTCTCTCCCGTGCACGAGAAACATGAAGAACCTTGCCTACTCGTGTCTTGCTTTGCAGTGTAATTATATTGTCTTCAACGTTCCAGCGGATGGGTTCAAGCTACAAACCTATCAAGGGGGCTTTGGTTTTTTATTTCAGGGCAAGGTATTCATAGCTCTCAGGGTCACTGGGAACATACAAACCTTTCCACCACATTGAGGTGGCTGGCAGTTGTGGAGTAATTCTGCGTGAAGTCACACTCCTCAAACAAACTCACATAAGCCTGAATTAATAGTAGATGCCTTTGTTGTTTTTCTTTAGGATTTTGCAGACACAGAGCTGCTCCTCTCTCGAGGGAACGTTGACCAGAATGCATTGCAGGCATATGCCCGTGAGGCTGCAGACTTCTCCACCAATCACCAGCTGCCAACTCTGGACTTTGCCATGAATCACTATGGTCAGCCTGATGTTGCCATGTTCGACTTCACCTGCATGTATGCATCAGAGAACGCTGCTATGGTTCGCCAACGCCACGGACACCAGCTGCTGGTCACACTGGTTGGAGACAGCCTATTGGAGGTGAGACCGGTGGAGGTAAACAGGCTGCTGGAAGTGAGATACCTTGATTAATTACAGAGTCTTCCTGTCTTTTTGCAGCCCTTCTGGCCGATGGGGACGGGAGTCGCTCGAGGGTTTCTGGCAGCTCTGGATTCGGCTTGGATGATACGAAGTTGGGCTCAGGGCGCAGCTCCACTGGATGTCCTGGCTGAGAGGTGAAGACACACCTGGACAGGATACATCTGCTGTTCTCTCACACCTGGCCACATTATGTCTGTTTGTGTGTCTTTCCTACAGAGAGAGTTTGTACCGTCTCCTCCCTCAGACGACTCCAGAGAACATGCAAAAGAACATCACTCTGTTCTCTGTAGATCCAACAACAAGATACATGAACACCAGCCTTTTGACCATCACACCTGCCCAGGTAAACACAGAGAGGGAAGGGCTTTTTTGTCTCTGTTGATGATGTTTGGTTGGACTGAAGAATTTAAAGCTGAATCAATAAACAAGTAAGAGCTGCTCCTGCATGAAGGGATATTTTTTTTGTCTTCAGGTGAGGCACCTGGTTGACACAGGAGAAGAGGTGGGGCTAACCACAGACTGCAGTGATATCATCCGGCTCCCCTCCCCCAGATACCTCAGACAGGGTGGGATAACTTTACTCTGAAGATGTTTTTTTGTTTTGTTTTTTTAACTACAGTGTGATTGATGAATGTTAGAGTGAAGTTTTTTAGTTCACAGTCTGACCTGATGCCTCTCTGTCCCAACACTGTGCATGATTCTCAGCTTCTAAAAAAATTTTTTATATATATATATATATATATATATATATATATATATATATATATATATATATATATATATATATATATATATATATATAAAATTTTTATATAATATATAAAAACTTTTATGTGTGTGTATAAAAGCCTTGATGAACTTCATTACATCATTTTCAGGAACAGATCTGACAAATAGAAGATCTGACAAACCTCCTTGGAAAGCCTAAGCCTTCAGCTGAAGAGCAGCAGCTGAGGAAGGATATTCAACTTCCTGTTTAAAAATGCTCTGAGGATTTCATTTGACTGGTCCCCTCTCTCTTTCTGTCTCTTCTCACAGAATCCTTCTCTCGATCCAATCAGCTGCTGACTTGGTGTCAGGAACAGACTTGTGGTTACCATGGCGTTAATGTTACTGACCTGACTACTTCCTGGAGGAGTGGCCTCGCCCTGTGTGCTCTTATCCACCGATACCGATCTGATCTGATGTAATTACTTTTAGTTAAAACTGCTCTGAGGACAGTTTCCATCACTCTGTGTTTGGGTTTTTAGTCACATGACTTTTAGTCACATGACTTTTGAAAAGTTCACTCAGACCTACCGTATTTTCCGCACTATAAGGCGCACTTAAAATCCTTTAATTTTCACAAAAATCAACAGTGCGCCTTACAATCCGGTGTGCCTTATGTATGAATTCTGGTTGTGCTTACTAACCTCGAACCGATTATATGTGGTACATGGCGCTCAAAAATTTGTCAAAAAATGTTTTAGTACCACTTTGGTAAGCTACAAAGCCGCACCGGGGCATTAGGGCTACCGTAGTAAGGAGCCTCACGTAGTAATCTGGGTCCAAAACTCCTTCTTCTTCAGGTCCCAAAGTCAAACGAACACTGTGGCGTCACTGAGAGTTAAAAACTGTCTAAATTCTTTCATCTTTAATAAAATGATCAGCATTGCTGCTTTACCAGGTGTAACAATTAAGTTTAACATCCAGGCATCCATGAAGACAGAATTTATTAAATTTAACAGAGTTAGAAGTTAGCAGGAAGTTAGCTCGATAGTTTCCACCTAAACATGATATAGCATGTTCTGACTGAGATATTTCTGAAAAAAATAAAAGGTACAGCTCTGCTACCACTTCCAACATAAATGAAGACAGAAAACTACACAGCAGTGACGTTTGTAGGGTTACTGAAGTTGGACTAGCTGGTATATAATGACGTGTTACGTGATCGCTAGCGACACAGCTATGTTAACATAACATAAACACAGTGAAGCTGGAGGAAGAACGCTAACTTTTTTCCACTCAATAAAAGTTAACGTGAGGGTTCCCGATGGTTAGGGACAAATGCAATCGCATGGCAGGATGCTGTAAACGGACCAAAGTTCAGTCAGGAGAACAACTGAGATAATCCATCCACAATACGAGGTTAGTCATTAATATACTGCAACAACACGGGAATAGAGCAGCTGTGAGAGAATTCAACATTAATGAATCAAAATTGGACTTATCTGACTTTTTTTTCTCGCATAATGCGCCTTATAATCCAGTGCACCTTATAGTCCGAAAAATACGGTACTCAGAATCAAGAGGGACAAACTGTGTTGTGAGACATCCTGTCGGACTGAACAAAGAGATTCATGTCCTGTCAGAAACAACTTCCTGTGTCATTATGTGAGAAAACTTCATCATCAATAAAACAAGCTTCAAGAGCAGTGAAAGAATATGGTGCAAAAGTCAACAACTTCTAAATAACAGAAAGTTTACTACAGTGGGGCAAAAAAGTATTTAGTCAGCCACCGATTGTGCAACTTCCCCCACTTAAAATTATGACAGAGGTCAGTAATTTGCACCAGAGGTACACTTCAACTGTGAGAGACAGAATGTGAAAAAAAAGCCATGAATTCACATGGTAGGATTTGTAAAGAATTTATTCATAAATCAGGGTGGAAAATAAGTATTTGGTCACCTCAAACAAGGAAAATCTCTGGCTCTCACAGACCTGTAACGTCTTCTGTAAGAAGCTTTTCTGTCCCCCACTCGTTACCTGTATGAATGGCACCTGTTTGAACTCATCATCTGTATAAAAGACACCTGTCCACAGCCTCAAACAGTCAGACTCCAAACTCCGCCATGGCCAAGACCAAAGAGCTTTCGAAGGACACCAGGAAAAGTATTGTAGACCTGCACCAGACTGGGAAGAGTGAATCTACAATAGGCAAGCAGCTTGGTGTGAAAAAATCAACTGTGGGAGCAATCATCAGAAAATGGAAGACATACAAGACCACTGATAATCTCCCTCGATCTGGGGCTCCACGCAAGATCTCATCCCGTGGGGTCAAAATGATCATGAGAACGGTGAGCAAAGATCCCAGAACCACAAGGGGGGACCTGGTGAATGGCCTGCAGAGAGCTGGGACCAAAGTAACAAAGGTCACCATCAGTAACACACTACAACGGCAGGGAATCAAATCCCGCAGTGCCAGACGTGTTCCGCTGCTGAAGCCAGTGCATGTCCAGGCCCGTCTGAAGTTTGCCAGAGAGCACATGGATGATACAGCAGAGGATTGGGAGAATGTCATGTGGTCAGATGAAACCAAAGTAGAACTTTTTGGTATAAACTCAACTCGTCGTGTTTGGAGGAAGAAGAATACTGAGTTGCATCCCAAGAACACCATACCTACTGTGAAGCATGGGGGTGGAAACATCATGCTATGGGGCTGTTTTTCTGCCAAGGGGACAGGACGACTGATCCGTGTTAAGGACAGAATGAATGGGGCCATGTATCGTGAGATTTTGAGCCAAAACCTCCTTCCATCAGTGAGAACTTTGAAGATGAAACGAGGCTGGGTCTTCCAACATGACAATGATCCAAAACACACCGCCCGGGCAACAAAGGAGTGGCTCCGTAAGAAGCATTTGAAAGTCCTGGAGTGGCCTAGCCAGTCTCCAGACCTCAACCCCATAGAAAATCTGTGGCAGGAGTTGAAAGTCCGTGTTGCTCGGCGACAGCCCCAAAACATCACTGCTCTCGAGAAGATCTGCATGGAGGAATGGGCCAAAATACCAGCTACTGTGTGTGCAAACCTGGTAAAGACCTATAGTAAACGTTTGACCTCTGTTATTGCCAACAAAGGTTATGTTACAAAGTATTGAGTTGTATTTTTGTTATTGACCAAATACTTATTTTCCACCCTGATTTACCAATAAATTCTTTACAAATCCTACCATGTGGATTCATGGATTTTTCTTTCACATTCTGTCTCTCACAGTTGAAGTGTACCTCTGGTGCAAATTACTGACCTCTGTCATCATTTTAAGTGGGGGAACTTGCACAATCGGTGGCTGACTAAATACTTTTTTGCCCCACTGTATATCAACCTTCTGTGCTTCACTCATGCACATTTACACATGAATAATTTAAAAGATAGAACTGCAAGGTCATAAACATTTGTTCATGGAGTTTAGAGAGGAATGGTCCTTTAAAGGTGAGAGTTTTGCTTCTTCTGAGGTCTGAGTTGACTCCTGCCTCTCCTCAGAGACTTTGACTCTCTGGACGAGTCGTCAGTGGAAGAAAACACTCGACTCGGCTTTGATGTGGCTGAACGAGAGTTTGGGATTTCTCCATTGATGACGGTGGAGGAAATGTCGTCTGTGGAAGAGCCGGACTCTCTGTCGATGGTTATGTACCTGAGCCAGTTTTACCAACTGCTCAAAGACTCGCCGCCCCCTATGGGTGAGGCTGCAAACTGCTCCCGATCAGCCATTCTACTGGAAAAGGGCTGATAAAAAAGACGTGGTAATCCAACATGTTTGTTTCAGGCTGCCTGAGGCACATCACTGACCTGCGATCAGCTCTCATCGCTCCCGCCTCCCTCCTCAGCCGACTGGGAACCAGTTTGTCCAGGAAGAGAAACCCAAAGGTAGCGTAGTTCCACCTCCTCATACCTGCAGTCATCTGTGTGAAATTAAAGATGGTAATAATTTATGGTATCTGCAGGAGCATGGGGGGGCATTGGGTAAAAAGAGGAAGACCAGTCAGCGGAGTCGAGAGCAGCAGGAGGTCAGTGTCCACACTTCACTTCAAACTCAGCTCATGTTAAATTATTCAGATCTTCAACCAGAACCAGACATTGAAGGACAGAGAGCGTTAGACATTCAGATTGGAGATGGTGAGCAGTCCGGCTGTCCGGCCATTTTCTTCGTCTTATGTAGTTCAGGCTCGGGTTCAGATGAAGACTTTTCTTTAATTCATCAAGACTCACAACTGAAGACAAAAGCTTCTTTTTCACTCTGATGACCCTTTTCAGTCTCTGTACGCCATGTGACTCAGGTGGAGAAGCTTCCATCACCAGGGCCTGAGCTGGCCACTCTTTCTCTCTTCAGTCTGGACTGATGGATGCGGCCTCTTTGCTCATTTACACACCACACCACTGACGGCGAGGATGCCACAAAGCTGACACCAGCACAGTGTCAGGGCCAAAGGTGGAGCCGCTGATGTCACTGTCTGTGGGAGAAGCCACCTCAGGAAACTCACTACTGTTTGGCAACTGACTTTCCTCTGATGACTATGACCTGATTTTTTTTTAATGGATATTTTGTTTTGCAGTCATGTGACCTGAATGGTGATGTTGAGAGCCAGTCGTTTGAGGAGGAGTTTGTGGGTGGGGCCAGTCGGTCCAGAGTTCGTTTGATGGCCAATCAGCTACAGGCAAAGCTGCATGAAAGTTCATCTACCTGCAGGACATCTTCTTCTGCTGCTGCTGATTTCCGTCGACAAGTGAGAGCGTGCTGATTTCTGATCAATCATATTGATTTCTGATGGTCAAATAGGGGTTGTGGACATGATGTGTGTAGTATTAATGTTTCTATAAACGCAAACACCCTGTGTTAACCAGCAGGGGGAGCTATCCAGCCTCCCTCCAGCCTCCCAACCAGCAGAAAGTCAGCCGACTGCATCTCCAGTTCACTTGTCATCATGGAGGCCGGTAAAGACCAGTAGAAGCCAGTAGAGACAGATGAGACATGTTGGAGTACTGATAAACTACATTTTCACTTTAAAGACTCATTTAAGAGGATGCAGGTGGCTGGATGGTTAAAATAAATAGATAATTTCCCTTTTTGCTGTTTGTTGATACTTCTGAGATCCTCATGTGAATCACACAGATGTTAGTTTGGTTTGTGAGAAGTTTCTTTCTCATGGATTCATGTGCTGGACTACGATGTAACTACGAACCAAATTGAGTTTTCGGTTTGAATTGAGACCCTTTAAAGACGATTTCTCTATGGTGTGCGGTAGACATCACCGATTGGTTCAGGTTTTGGTTCTAGCCTCCTGCATCGTCACAGTTTCTGCAGAGTCCAGACTGCAGATGGAATAACGTCTGCTGTCTCTGCCAGAAAAAACGAACTCTTCAGCAGGAGCAGATGAGTTTTCGATTCAAACAGAAGCTCAAGGCTCAGGCAGTTCTCGATGGGGACGAACAGGTGCCTGAGCAAGTACCTGAACAGGTATCTCTGATGGGTTTTGGTGTGTTTGTGTGCTGAACGTATACCCCTCCTCCCGTAGTGCTCTGGTTTGTTCGGGCCTCGATGTCCCCCGGCTGCACTCGTGCTCGTCAGCCTGAACATCCTCAGTGGATCGTTGAGTCCTGCAGGGCTGTACCGATCGCCTGCTTCATGTGATCAATAACAAAGTGAGGCTCATGAATGGCTCCTATTGAGCAGAGGAGCTGTTCTCAGATCAGCCTGCAGCTCTGATGTGTTTGCTGACTGAGCACTTTGTGCGGCTGGACTTTCCCTCCATCTGCCGCTGTGTTTTCAACCAGCATCACAAGCAGGGTTTATTTTCCTCTCCTCTGGCTGCCCCATCGCTGAAAACAAGTTAGATCTCCTTGAAGATTCACCTGGTCCTGAACGGTAGGATGTCCCACAGCTCAGATGTATCGTGGCCATAAACCCTGATCAGGGTGAAGAAGCTGGAGTTACTGTCATGCCTCAGATGTTGCTGCCAGCTTTGATATAAAACTAACCCCAATATTTCACTCCAAAGAGTACAAACACAAAGACACTAAATAAATCCTGGAGACGTGGAGAACTAATCAGATGAGATGGTATCAGGTCACATGTGAAAATTCCTGCTTAAACACCATAACGCTGAACGTGATGCTGGTAAAAAGCACTTGATATCCTATCACTCTCAGTGGTGAATCAAGGGCCTCATTTATAACAACTGCATAGTGTAAATCTAAAGGGGTCTCTACTGGTGTTAGTTTCTTCACACTCAGGTGTGTGGATCAAAAAACAAACTTTTGGAAACAGAAGTTACTTCCACACCAGCATCTTCCTTCCCTTCTTTAACAGTCTCACCCTCACATTTCCTTCCCTTACCCTAACCCCGACCCTGACCCTTGGGTCATGGTCAGCTAAGGTTGTTTTCACACCTGCAGTGTTTAGTCAGTTTAAATCAACCTCTGGTTTATTCAGCCTGTCTGCACGGTTTGTTTGTGCAGGTGTGAACACAGTAATTGCACTTGAGTGCAAAACAAAACAACCGAACCAGCTACCAAGTGTATGTTACAAGTTTGAGCTAAATATCATCCTGTACAAACATATGTCCTTTGAGGCAGATGATGTCAGGGTTCAGGTCTCGCCGTCTTTCCTGGATATTAAAAGTGAATATATGGAGTTCATTTTCAGCTCACTGCACAGGTTAACTGCAGATGAAAAGATATGGTTCATAAATGAGGCCCATGGTCTGTGGCTGTAATGTGTCTGTGTCTGTCTGTCTGTCTGTCTGATCAAAGTGCCTTCAAATGTACACGGGTGGCGTGAGCTCACTGGCTGAGCAGATAACCAGTCGTATGCAGAGTCAGGAGGACGGTGGTGGGGTAAGACTGCTTCAGTATTCTGCGCCTTGTTCCCTTCGGCTCTTTGACTTTGTTTCAATCAGCTGAAGTGAAGAAGATGTTGTGATAAATCAGCTGATAACTCTGCCCAACTGACGATGGAATTCAGTTTGCTGAGACTTCTTTTCCTCGTTTCTTTTTTCTTGTGGTTTCTTCATTTCTTTCATTCTTCATGTCCTAATGTCTCCTTTCTTTTAGCTTTTTAGTCTGTCACCTTTCCTTCCATCCCAGCTTTGTTTCCTTTCCTCCACTTTCACTTCCTTTCCTTTAACCTTTCCTCCATCTGTTGCTGTGTGTGTCCCCGCAGGTCTCTGCCAGCTGCAGTCACGTCTGTTTCTTCTGTAAGCAGAGGGTTTATGTGATGGAGCGTCTCAGTGCAGAGGGCTTGTTCTTCCATCGCAGCTGCTTCCAGTGTGGTTCCTGCAGCAGTCCCCTCCGCCTGGCCTCGTACACATATGACCAGCACACCAGTCAGTAAACTCACACCCCCCCTCCTCCACCCTTCTCTGCTGTTGGGGTTTAGGTTTTAACAGGTTTCCATGTTCAGCAGGAAAAAAGAGAGGTGTTCACTTTCCTTCTGTGGGGACAAACAATGACCTCACAGTCATGAAACACATTTTTAGAGTCTCCCTGAGCAGATCATCGCCATTGACCCTCAGAATAAACCTCCAGTTTGACCCTGACCTCCAGGAGAGAAAACAGATGTCTGACTTTGAGATGAGACCATAAGAGACAGAGTTGATATGGACTTTCTCAACCCACACACTGAAAAACTTCTATTGATGGCCCTGGTGTCAGGGTGATGACATCACAAACAGGGTTGTGGCAGTGACAGAACGTTAGATTAAACCTGAGTGACAGAGCTGAACTCATCGGTCTCATTCCTGAGGCGTGGTATCAGACGATATCAGACTCATGACTAAGTGGAGGATAAAGCCTCTCTGTGTCCAGGACACAGATAAATAAAGTTCACAGTCAAATCTGTAGCTTCATTAGACAATGAGCAACAAAAACAGGGAGCAGTGTGACATTAAATAAAAAGATCAAATCAGAAACCAGAGAAGAAAAGATAAAACGGCCTCATTTGCAGATAAATTTGTTTGTTTTTGAAGACCGTTAATGTGTGTGGGGGGAACCTGTGTCAGTCTCCGCGGTATATTTGGATCTTTGGGGATAAAAATGGAAACGGCCTTATAAACGGGCAGCTTGATGCAGAGAACAGTGCAGTCAGCAGTTCTCTGCAGACTCAAACATTGGCCTGTGGGCCAGATCTGGCCTCCCGATGAAGATCTGTAACCGTACCATGAGCTCAAGTTCTGCTCTCACCAGAGGCGGAGCCAGACATTTGAAACACCTGGGGCTTAGCCCAAGAGGGTAGTATGCATGTGGGATTTTTTTTTTTTTTCTTTTTTTGGGGGGGGGTAGAAATGACTGAAAGATTAATAGACTCTGTTTTGAGTTTTGTTAAAAAAAGAATGACTTCATATAGGAAAAAAATATATATCACATATGCAGGACACCTTAAGCTAGTTTTTTAATTAAGCAGCAAGGCAGAACAAGGTCAGGGCTGTATCAAGACACGAGGACTAAACCCCAATTCAACCAGACCCAGAACTGATCCAGAATTAAAACAGGACTACAACAGTTCAATATCAGGACTACTTGGGATTTAACCAAGACAGAACCAGAATCAGAACTATAGTAGCACTAAAAATCATCATAGACCTGCACTACACTTATTTTTTAATTCTACCAAAGTCCACTATTTAGATTGAGAAAAGTTTATATAATTATTTATCTTTGTTGTGCAAACAAGCCTGCACAACTTAATAAATGTAAAATTTGAAAAATAACAAACCTAAAAAGAAACACTAGGTACGAGATACATGAGGACCTATGATACGGTGATACTTTTGGTAAACGACCATTTGACTAACATGTGTGTCTCACCTGCTCTTGTTCCATCTCTGTTCTGTCCTCATTCTCCTCTCTCTCCCTCTCTGTTCCTCTCTCTCCCTCTTTGTGCTGACAATCATCAAATATACAGTTGAAACCAGATATTTACACACTCTTCAGATAAAAACACTTTTTTAATTGTAACATCAAATCAGACTAAATGTTTATTTTTTTGATTGATAAATATAAAATACATATTTGTTAACTTTAAGAGTAAAGAGAGAAACTATCTGTATTTCTTAATTGCAAATGGCACCAAATTGTATTCATATTTGAGCCACACTTATGGAGCTCCACAGTTCTCTTCCTGGTGTTTTGGTTGACATCTCTTGATTTTCCCATGTCAAAGAAACAGGCTCTGTGTTTTGCCTTATATGCATCCACAGCTGTGCCACCAGTTTACTCACATGGACTCTACTAACCTATCAGAAGCTTCTTCAGCTCACAATGGAATCGTCTGGAGTTTTCTTATTAATTAACAAACTTAGTGTACATGTACTCCTACATTTGATCAAAGTGATAAAAACAGAAAGCTCTGTCTCTCTTTATTGTGACATTTAACTAATTCAAAATATATTTCAATATTTATCTAAAACAAAAGTTTACTCTAAATTGATGTTGTACAGTAAAAATGTTTTATGTTTTCTCCCTAAAGTGTAAATATCTGGTTACAAATGTGAATATCCTGCTGTGTACTGAAATCCCTCTTGTTTTGCATAGAAATATACTGAACAACATAGTAAGCATGATATATAAAATAACATTTACCCGAGTTTTTTCTTTGAAAGAACCCTCTAATGTCCATTCTTATATTTCAGTACATAACTGAAACCGATTTAGTCGGGGAGGGTAAGAACAGAAAATATGAAATAAACACACGTAAGCTAAGACTCTCTAAAGAAACAGCATTGTTGTTGTTCGGCTTTTCATTTCGCCATTTGTTGATTGACTTGAAGAGCAAGTAACGTAATATTGGTCAAGTGATCAGTTTGATATCAATCTTTCGTGATGCACCGTCATATTTACATTATTTGTACGGTACGAATGATTTGCTTTGGTACCTGGTCGAACTTAAGCTCTCCTTAGTATGGCTGGCTCCGTTTCTCCAACAGCGCACTCACAGGCAGCAGCTGCCTCGCCCCCTCGCTCAGTTGCTTAGTGCCTGAGCTCGGATCATACCAATATCAGGGGGGATTCACGCACAGTCGTAAATTCCCACAGTGTGCACTATGTGCTTCGAATATTGTGTGTACTTTTTGTTTTATACAGTTGTCAGCCAGGCATCTAACTATGAAAAAATTACCCTCCAAAAGACCCCGGGCTTCTGAAAAAACAACCCGGGCTTAAGCCCAGTAAGCCACCCCCACGCTCCGCCCCTGGCTCTCACAGTCTGAATGTGTTTTCATGTGGACTACCTACTTGGACCCAGACTCACCTGAGACTCGGTCCATAAACGTGTACGGAAGGGTAACAGGTGGTTCTCCCGTGGCTGTGGGTGGAAGAAGGACCCCCTGAGTGTCTGAGTGGACCGGGTAATGAACAGCTGATGAAGCCCAGACCCCCTGCTGTGCATCAGGCCACCTGTAGTTTGAAGTCATTTTATTTGCAAGATAGATTTCATAAATGAAAAAGCAACAGAAACCTTCAGAGACATAGGTCCGCCCTCACCTCCGTACTTCTGTAACTCGTTAGCAGACTCATAATCGTGTATCAAAAACAATCTGATTAGTGTCTGAGTCTCAGATCTGCCGATTCATGAGTGGGGAGAAAATGTTTGACCCCAGCAACACACAACCTGCCCTGCAGACTCGCTCTGATTTTTCTGCCCATCACTGCAGTACTCTGATTACTGTCAGGTGGTGGTGTCATGTGATCGGAGCCCCGAGCCTCGCCGCCACACGTTTCCACACCACATTTTTAACCACACAAAATGTCTATTGTGGGTCTGACAGCTGAATTCTGCAGCTCAGCAGCCAATGAGAGCACAGTGATCACATGACCGATGAGTTTGAAGTCGAGGCGGGAGTCGGTGTGAAGGTTGCTATAAAAACATAAATTTTGGGAAGCCTTCAGAGACGAGGGCTGCAAGATACGCTCCACATCTCTCTGTGTGAGATACCTGTGTGTGTGAGACACACACCTGTCCTGACATCCTGTCTGTCGTCCTCTGTGTCTCAGGGAGGTTTTACTGCATGCAACGCTCCGAATGTCACCTAAGTGCTCAAGCCGTGAGGAAGAGGCCGACGCCATCTGACAGAGCTACGTCACACCGAACGTCAATCGTAAGAACCACTTTTACTTTCATTGTGATATTATCTGTGTGCACCTGACCTGCAGGTGTGGGCAATTTATTAGTTCAAGCCCTGGAAGGTAGAACAGGTCATCAGATGCTCTTTAGGTGGTAATTTTAGTTGGAGGTCAGGGTGGTGGTGGTGGTGTTGTGTGGCTTGACCTTGAATGGAGTTCTGACAGGAGCAGCTACCTGCCTGTGGAACCGATCAGTTCAGGTGTTTCTGTTCACGGCAGGTAAGCTGTTCAGGATCATCACTGTTTAGCGAGTCAGTACGGAAGATCGATCATGCCAGAAATGTTCAGTTCAAAAATAATAAAAACACACATTAACAGAAGAAATAATGACAAAAGGAAAACTAGACCTTTCTTCAATCACCTGTATAAGTTTTTTTCAACCTTTAAATCCTAAATAGCAAATATTTCGCCTTTGAAAAATAAAGATAATGATTCTAATAATGATTTAATAAAGTTCATCTGCTAAACTCATTTTAGAAAAAGAATGTGAAAAAAACTATTTTTGTAAATTTAATTTAGAATCAGAGTTACTGAAAACTTTGAGTTTTAGAGTTGGAATAATTACAGGACTAATAAATAAACGCATATCTTTGTCTTTGAAGGGGTCCCAGAGCTCGGCGCCATCTCTGTCTGACTCTCTGATCTCAGCAGGCCGCCGACCATCCTCAGGTGAGCTAGCTTCACCTGTGTGTGTGCTTTCAGTGTCCATACGTGTTCACACTGAGCGCGCTCCTTAAACAGGAATCGATGTGGGCTTTAGTGTGTCTGTGTGTCTGTGTGTGTCTGTGTGTGTGTGTGGCTGCGTTGGTGTGTTGGCAGCTGCTTCTCTAATGGCGGCGACGCCGGAGAGGATCGAGCTGGAAATCTGGCACCGGTGCTCAGAGGTGGAGCTACAGGAGGAGCTGGAGGAGGTTTCCGAGGAGGTCCTGAACCTATTCAACCTGAGCACCGACAATCAGACAGGGTCCAGGTCCAGAAGGTCGGTATCCTCAGGAAATAGAAAAAAACAGCCTTGGCTTTAATAATGCTTCAGCCTTTCTGCTGAATGCTGGGAATCACCGCTCCATACGGGGGTCAGTAAACATGTCTTGGATGTAAAGAGCTGGAGGTCACACACGTTTTACTGTAAAAACTTCAATATGAAATATTTTGTGGTGTGAAAAGTACGAATTAATAAAGAAACTTAAATGTTTACATCAAAATAAAGATTACAATAAAAGGGAAGTTGTTTTTAAAAAATTTATGTTATATTTGTGTATTTAGACCCCACAAAATTTTAAATGTTTGTAGGATTTTTTTTAAATTGTTTTGACTTTTGAATTTAAAATGTTGCCTTTTTAAAAAAAAATTCTAGTCTAATCTGTAAATATTTAATCAATCTAGCTATGGCTCTAATTTTTTTAATCATTGTGGCTGTGCTTCACCAAACAAATTAAAGTGAATTTAGTTTGTTTGGTTGGCAGTGTTGGTCCTCCATCCCAACTGTTTTATGTTTCCTGTTTTCAGTTCAGAGTCAGATATGGAGGAGGAGGCAGAGGGAGGAGGCTGTGTAACCTCAGACGAGACGAGATCTTCATCGAGAGAAACGCTGCAGCTTTACCTGAAAGTCCAGGAGGAGGAGGAGGAGGAGGAGGAAGGCAGTGGCATGGAGTCCAGCGATGGTGAGTTAAAGTCTTTGTGAGTTTTTGGGTGTGAAGTAGGGGTCTTGAGTTTGAGATGTGCTGTTGTCTGTCTCCCCCTGCTGGTAGAGGGGGAGTACGACCCCTGGGAGATGGAGCGCCGTTCGGGCTTATGGCTCCTGTTAGAGGAGGAGACAGGTAGCACCTACCTGAACCTGCTAACCAAACTCCTTTTATAAAACCTCAGATTTTAGAATAACCACCGTGTTTAACATGAATGTTTAACTCTGTGCGTGTGTGTGTGTGTGTGTGTGTAACAACAGCAAAATTTAAATTCTAATTTCATTAAAAATGGAATGAAAGGACAGCAGTGCTCCATGCGAGGATCAGAGGACGGGGACAGGAAGTTATTAAAACTCAAACACTGACCTGATGAGTGTGTGACACAAAGTTCAAAGTCAGCTTCCTTTTCGTTGTGAGCTCAGCTGCTGCTTCTAAAGGCCGTCGTTCTAATCTTTACTCTCGCTGCCTCACATTCATTCACATCAATAAACATTAATAGTAAAGTGTGTGTGTGTGTGTGTGTGTGTGTGTGTGTGTGTGTGTACAGAGTGCATATACACATTATTTCATACACTATCTCCTCCCTTCAGAGGCGGAGCTTGCTCCTTACAGCTCTGACACACCTGTTCAGCCTGACTCCACCTCTTCCATTAACTCATCTGTGACTCCACACCCTGTCGCCACCACCGCCAGCACAGCCTCCTTCATCACCACACCTGACTCCCCTCACATTGAGGATGGAGCCAGAGCGCCACTCAAACCTGCCATTGTCATGGAGACACCTGCTGCCAGTGGGCGGGGCTCATTTGACAACATCACACCTGAACTGCCGCAAAATAGGCCCCTCCTCCTGCAAGAGAAAGGGGAGGGGTCAGAGGAGGACCCAGGGACATTTAGGAGGAAGAGGAGGACGACGAGACGGCGAGAAGCTCATAGCCTCCCCCCTAGACTCCTCTTCCCCCCCCTGCAGCCTGGGGGCAGGGCTCTCCTCTTTAAGATGCTCAGAGAGGCTCCTCCCCCTGGGGAGATGGAGCTGGGAGGGGTTGGAGCCAGAAATCTATTAAAGACTGTGTTTTCTGGAAACAAGAATGAGCAGAAGAAGAAGGGGGGTGGGACTTTACCTGCAGAGAGGGCGAAGGAGAAAACAGCCAGTCAGAGATTCACAGGTGACCATAATAACAACACCTTTAGTCAGTGTGATGTCACTGTGATGATGTAATACCTGTACCTTCTTTGTCCAGATGTGAGAGCAGAGGTGTCAGATCTTGATTCATCCACCGTGTTGCAGAGATGTTCCCCGAAGCCCCAAAACAACGTAAGCACTCCGACCAATCATAGTTCAGCATTATTCCAACCAATCTGAGACCTAAATCATACCCAGACTCACTAAGGGATAAGGATAGGGGTCAGACTAACACCTAGACTGGGTCTCTCACCTGAAGTCTTCTTTTGCAGCTGCGTTTGGAGTTGCTTGACCTGACCAATGAAATTCAGAGGGTTGCCATCGAGGAGGAGGAGAAGAACCAGGAGGTATCACCTGACACACAATGACCAGACTGACTTTAAACTCGACCGACATACCGACTTGTTGAAACTACCCGAGACTTAAATGGACGTAGATTCACGTCTCGTCTATCAGTTTGACTGTTTTCTGTCCTCCGTGTTTCTTCTTCCTGCAATCAGCCGCCATACGTTCCTCACGCTCTGGCTTTCAAACGATCATACGCCATCAAGGTACACACACCTGATCCTCTGAGGGTTGTGGTGGTCCAGCAGTTTCACTTCCTGTCCTGATGCTTACGCACTGCTGTTTCAGAGACGCCCCCTAAAAGACAGAGTCCCGCTACAGGACTCTGACGGCCAGTCTTCCTGCCCCACGGAGGTGGTGGGGGTCGTGGTCCAGCCGAAGGAGGCATCCAGTTTGAGCGTGAAGGAAACCATGTTCCAGAGGGAGCGTGAGGATGACGACGATGACCTGGACACCAGAATCACGCGACGGGTTCAGAGAGCCGCAAGGAGACAGGCCAAACAGGAAGAACTGAAAAGACTCCACAAGGCCCAGGTGAGGTTACCTGTGTCCAGCTGAGGTTACCTGAGTTCAGGTGAGATTACCTGATGATGCGTTCTGTGTCTTAGATGATCCAGAGGCAGCTGCAGCAGGTGGAAGAGAAACAGAGGCAGCTGGAGGAGAGAGGAGTGATGGTGGAGAAAGCTCTGAGGGGAGAAGCAGGTACTGAAAATACAGGCCAAAGGAATACCTGAACTTACTTGGTTCTACCTGAACTCAGGTGTGCTTCTACTTTAATCCACCTGTGCTTGTGTTTCTGTTAGATTACTGGGGAGAATCCAGCCAAAGCGCAGACATGGAGCTTCACCTGGGAGGTCAGTTCACATATCCGGTTACCTGTGGAGTACATATACAGCAGGTATTATGCGGCGCTGAACCCGGTTTTCTGTGTAGGGCTCGGGAAACTGGATAATCCGCCGCTGATGCAGCAGTGGTTCCAGCTGGTCCAGCAGAAGAACGCTCTGGTCCGATATGAAGCTGAGCTCATGATCTTGTGAGTATGTGACCTTTGACCTCTCACCTGGGCAGATTCCTGGGGTGTGATGGTTCTGGCTGTGTTTCAGCGCCCGAGAGCTGGAGCTGGAGGACCGGCAGAGTCGCCTGCAGCAGGAGCTCCGAGAGAGGATGGCTGTGGACGGTAACACAGACAAGATCAGAGCTCAAGCTCACCTGCTCACCTGTGTGTTTCTGTGTGATGATCACGTGTGTGTGTGTGTGTGTGTGTGTGTGTGTGTGTGTGTGGTGTGTGTGTGTGTGTGTGTGTGTGTGTGTGTGTGTGGTGTGTGTGTGTGTGTGTGTGGTGTGTGTGTGTGTGTGGTGTGTGGTGTGTGTGTGTGTGTGTGTGTGTGTGTGTGTGTGTTCCCACGCGCATGCAGACCACCTGAAGGACGAGGAGCAGCTGGCTGAGGAGCGTCTGATCCTGGAGGAGATGCTGGAGGTGGTTGAGCAGAGAGACTCTCTGGTGTCCCTGCTGGAGGAGCAGAGACTGCAGGAGCGACAGGAAGACAGGGACCTGGAGCAGCTGATGGTGTCCGGAGGACTGGGACTCACCTGGACCTGAGGCGGTCAGACTTTCTGTCTCACCTGTCAGAGGTCTTTAAACCCACCTGGACGCAGGCAGGGATGATATGTTTAAAACTGCAAACTGTCGAGTTGACCTGAGGAGAGTCTGGTTTAGTGCAGGTAAACAGTCCAGGTGGAGAGAAACAATTACATTTATTAACTTTTTAAAACTGATTCATAAAAACTACCCACGAGCAGAAACAGGATGTCTTAGTCTGAAATCAGCTGACCTCTAATGTTTCCTTAGAAGTTAGTCATCAGAGCAGCTTGATGGATTAAATCCAGCAGAACCCAAACAGATACAGGATGGTCTGAACTGAACCATCCAATCAGGTGTGATGATGTCATTCACGCCAGAGAAGATGGGAAAAAACCTCCACTTTTCTGACTGCAGGAGTTAGTACTAATGCTAACAGCCTGTATTAGCTATAGTGATGGAACACTGACATGGCTGCTAGCCAATACCATGCTACTGCTACTGCTAACCAGCTACCATAACCCACTGTTGCTACCTGGAGTAAAAGTAAGCTAATCTAAATGAAGATGTGTTTGTGCAGCTTGTCCTGGTGCAGAGTTTAAATATCTCTAACTCCTCGAGAGAGAACACAAAGGTGGACTTTAGCTCTCAGTGCTGAGCTATCTTAAAACTCCATTCTTTCTACTGACAACAGGGGTAAACTCCTCTGATCTGAGCTCAGTAAACTCTTTCCTGAGGAGTTTACAGTCTCAGATGCTAGTTAATTAATTACATGCTGTGTGTCAAATGTTTGAATACAGTAGAATAGCATAGCCCTTTACTGTCATTGTACATGCACAACAAAATTGTGGAGGCTCCACCCCAGCAGTCAGGAGTAAAATATAAAAACTAGACAGCAAGAGTTCAAGAACTCAAAAGTGGGCTCAATAGGCAGGCAGACTAATAAATCAAATTAATTCTACTAGAAACTGGTTGTCTACAGGAACTGGACCCATTCCTAATATTTTAGATATTAAACCTGATATTAAAACATTTAAAACAGTGTATTTAAATCCTTTGAGGCCGAACCCTCTGGTCTCATATCACTGTTTTTAAAACTCTTTTATAAAGTTTAGGAACTCTTAAAATAAGCTAAGACTCACTAAAGATGTTTGAGCATTTCACAAACTTTAATATTTAATAAAAAAAATGTTTTAAAACATCCGATGAACCATGTGACCCAGCCTCAATGACATTTTTATCTAATTGATTATTGATTGTGCCATCAGATCACCTGTGTGCCTTACCTGCCACCTGATCAATAACATGTGTTCATGCGGCGATGATGGTTATTACTGTAACTCTGTGCTGTGAAATAAACCTCTCATTTCTGACATTCTGGCTCATTTTCTGCTCATTTCTGCTCAGAAATTACATTTTATTATTATGATTAAATACAAACACATTAAGCTTTTTTGAGAAGATCGATGAACCATTCCTCCCTTATAACATTTGATTGTTGAACATAAGTTGTGACTCCTCTACAGCTTTGTATTCAATGCACAGTGAGAGAAAGATCTGGAAGCTTCAGTCACAGAAGAGTAAAAAATAAATCACCTGGCCTGCAGGTGATGCTGGTTGTCCTCCAGCAGGCCTCAGTTTGTAAGTAAGTAAAATTTTATTTGTATAGCACCTTTCAAGATAAAAATCACAAAGTGCTTCACAGAAGCTTAAACATAAAAACAAAAAATTTACCAAAAGAAAGTTTAAAAAGATGAGTTTTTAGCTGTTTTTTAAAAGCGACAAATGAGTCCACAGATCTCAAGCTCAAAGCTGTACATGTAGAGCATCTGAGCCTGTACTCTAGTAACAAACAGCTGTTTGGATCACCAGATGTTCCAGTAGTTTGAACTTCCAGTCTGGCAGTTTCTGTGTTTCCAACAGAAACTGAAGACCAGATGTTTAATTCTTCTGAACAGCCTGAAAACCCTCTGACAGCATCCTGTTTCTGCAGATGTCAGTCTGATGTCAGAGGTTTCAGTTTAGAAGATTTAAAATATTTTGTCTCTCAGCGGTGCCCCGGCTCTCCTTCCTCCTCTCGAGCATGCTTGTGTAACTATTTCTGTGGCTTCACATTTCCCAACACATGATGGTGAAACGTTTTTCCTGTTAATGCTCCAACTGAAAGAGGAAGTGAATTACAGGCTCTGACCTCTGAATGTTGTCATTCTTTTGTTTTCTTCCTCAAACTGTCTGTTCAGTGGTGTTAGGTAAGCTCTGAGATCTCTATCGCAACACGTGAACCTTCTTCATGTTCGGGTCTGACACTGCAGCTTTACAAACATCAAAGTCGTCATCTGAAGGTAATTACTTTTCAGTGCCAAAAGAATTAAAAGCAGTGAAGACAGCACAGCACTGTGATGGTTATGTTTCCTTTATCTTAAGGTTTCCATCACTGTGAGTTCAGAACAGGTGGCTTTTATACTCAAAGTGAGTCTGGATGTCAGGTAGAGGAGAGTAAACAGAGACTTTTTGGATCTGAATGAACATTTAAATAAGTTAACAAGCTATGTCCTGACGCTTGGAGTGGTCAGAAACAGCACACTTCCTTTTAGAGATTTAATTCAAATATTTGAGGTAATTTTTCATGATATTGAGATACACTGATCACCAGATTAGGTGACCTTAAAAGTATAATTCCAGATGACTGATTTGTTAGCTCTTTGTTCCTGTATGTTCTCTGGCCAGTTACTGCAGGTCTTCTTTTTGCATCAGTGTGAATACTTCCTGACACATATCAGTGTGAGGGATGCTAAGCTCAGTGTGAAACACAAATCATCCTCTATGAATGCTTAAAGCAACACTTAAGACCTGCTTTTAAGTATTTCAGACATTTCTATACCTTTTATGCCTAAAATAATAAAAACCCCAGCGATTTTCTACTTGTGCAATTAGAATAAAGTGAAAATGTAAACACTGAAACTACAAACAGCACACGATCACACATGACCTGTGTGACCCCAGCTGAGATCTGAATGAACAACAAGAATCCAAAGTTTACTCAGTTTATTTCTTTATAAAATCGTCTTGTTTTTCTGCTGAAGACGAAATATTTGAAAGGAATAAAAAGGAAAAAGAGGATTCAATTAAACTTTCATCAGAGAGAACCAGCCAAGAAATAACAGCTGTGATATAATATTGCTTTGGCGCTGAAGTTGATCGGTACTGGTCTCTGACTGGTTCTGGACTCGTTTCTGCTGTTACTGACTGGCGGCGTTGCTGACGTCCACCTTCAGGTCCTTCGAGACGAGTCCGGAGGTGACCGGGTGCATCCCCGCTCGATGAGCCAGAAACACTCGAAGAGCTTCATCACGAAACTTCTCAAAGTTAAACACCTCCCTGGAGATGAAGCACAGCCACAATGATTAAAACAGCAGAAACACAGTAAGAGAATCAGTGCTGCCTCCTAGCAGACACACCTCGGGTATCAATTTCAAAACCCTACATCACCGTGTTCTCAAGTTATCAGATTAACACGATTTTCAGAAAACTTGCTCTGACCTTGAGATTGAGGTCAGTCAGATTCAAACTTATCCAAGATTTTCAGTAGAAACTTATGGTCCAATTTGAAAACCCTAGATAACCTTCTTCAGTTATTGCATTGCAAGAGTTTTAGAAAACTTGACCTCTGACCTTGGCAATAAGGCCAAGGTCAGTCAGCTTGATCTCGTCTGAGAATTTTAGTAGATACAGCTATGGGACCAATTTGAAACTCTTATGTCATCTTGTTCTCGAGTTATCACACTCACAAACTTAGGTGTTCATGCCACGTCCCCGGGAGGGTGACGATAATACCTCATAAGTCTTTAAAGTGGAAGGGTAAAAATGGTAAAGGCACAGTAAAAACACAGAAGAAACAATAGAACAAACGGTAAAAACAAACATGAAGGTCAGTGATGTGGAGTTTTGTTCTAGTGAAACTACTGTTGAAGTGTAAGGACCTGAAGAGTGGTCGTGTAAACTTCATCCTGCCCTGGTCGGTCGCCATCTTCAGCGCTAGTGGAACCGCTTCCTCCCACCTGGACCTGACGCACAGCCTCAGCCACCTGGAGGGAGCACAGCCAATCACCAAGAGGCTTTAAGGAGGGGAAGGTTTTAAAATGAAAGTCCCATTTATACCTGCTGAAAGACTCACCTGAAGCGGATCTCTGCATTCATATAGGCGTTGAGATCGTAAATCTCCTGCATCTTCTTCACGTGAGTCAGAGGGAGCGGATCCTGAAGGAAGGAACAGGTGAGTGAACGGAAGTGGACTGTAGGGAGTTAATGTGGAGTGTGGTTACCTCTTGCAGTAGCAGTGACAGGAACTCGATGACCTGGTGGGATGACAGAGTCTTCACATCGGACCGCTTGAAGCTGTTCAGGTCCTGGTCTTTAGCCTGAACGGGGACAGAGGATGGAGCTTTGAGCCTGAACATAAAATCACTCAAGAGTCCTCACCAGATTCAGGTCTCACCTGGAGCCACTTCTGACTGAGAGCGTTGCAGGCGTCAGCCATCGTGGTATCGTATCTGAAACAACAGCCAATCAGGACAAAGGAATCAGATTGTTTTTAGAAATCAGAGACCAGATGGAAGTCTGAGTACTTACTGAGGTTTAACAGGAGGCATCCCAGGTGTGAACATCCAGGCGTTCCAGTCCACCTTGTTCAGGATGTCCACCTGAGACACAAAAACTCATCTCAAGGCTCCATCTTGACCTTTGAACCCACCTATCTATCACATCTGGAGTTTCTGCCTGATCACCCTGTAAATATTTGTCTTTTCTTGTAACAATCTGACCTCTGACCAAAACCTGCCAAGCTGATGTTCCTTCCCTCCAGTCACTGTAACTCTGCCTGAGTGTCCAGTTGTTCCTCACCTTGTCCTTGAAGTAGGCAAACAGGTAGTTTTTCCACTCCTCTGTGGTGACGCTGCTGTAGGCAAACCGCTGGATGTACGACTTCACAAAGCCCATGAACACCTCTGAGCAAAACAGATCAACAGGTGTGTCAGCAACTGAACAGGAAAGAGGTGAGTGTGCAGGAGTGTGCAGGTGTTACCTGGCCCTCCCAGCTGCTCCTCCAGGTAATACAGCAGAGCAAAGCCCTTCTCGTACGGCACGGAGGAGAAGGCATCGTCAGGACTGACGTCCTGCAGGCTGGGCACCAGGTTGGTCAGAGGGTTGTTGGCTCCAAAGGTGTTCACCTGAGATATGATGAGCACAGGTGAGTGGAAGGAAAACGTGCCTCATGTCAGACTGTGGATGTGACACAGGTGAAGGTGTATAATGTTTGAGTTCTCACCGAGTCCTGCAGGTCCTTCCAGCCTCCGATGGCTTTGAACTGCCTGAACTGTTCGCTCTCCAAACACCTGCCGATCATCCTCTCCAGGTAGACCGTGTGACCCTCGTTCAGCCTGAAGGTACAAACATGCTGACGTCAAATAATGACGTAATAATAAGCATCTTGTTGGAGCCGACAGTGGAAAATGCAATGTCTGGTTGCCTAGGTAATCCTTTACAGTACTTCCCACCACTTTGTGTGTCAATCAGCTGTAACAGTTGTCTGAATTTTTCCTTGTGAAAACCAAAGTAAATCAAAGATTTTCAAAAGGACGGTCTCAGCGAGCTATCGGGTCAGCAGTGGGGACGGGTCAGCCAATACGTTGCATCACCTGACCCTCAAACGCTGGTATTTCTTAATGATTTCTGCTTTTGTGAAGTCGAACCCTGGATGATTTTCGTTCAGCTAACCTCAGAGTGAATCTTTCCAGGTAAACCAACCCCACCATGAGTTGATCCCATTTCAGAGAACCCATAAGTTCCACAAAGTGTCTGTCCCAAAGCTGTGACTTCACTCTGAAAACCTACACAGTGCCTGGACACCTGAGCAAATGTGGGCCTGTTCTGTTGCATCGGGTTTTGTGACTTAGAGCATGTCTCAAAACTGGTTTTAAGATTTTATCTTCTGAGGCGTCCATGGGTTCTCTACACGTCTCTGCAAACACCTGAGACCCTTGAGCTGAGCTCCACCTGTTTGTTTGTTTACCAGAAATGCTCCCAGGTCTTGTTGGTCACCAGGTTTCCAGTCCAACTGTGAGAGATCTCGTGGGCAATCACCTGTAGGACACATGCACAGTCACAGACAGGAATGGAAGGTAATTTAATTATAATGCATGATCACATGGTGAGGTGGGAAGAGTCTTGTACTCACACCAGACAGAGATTTGTCTCCAGCCTGAAAACAGACAGGAAATAGCTGATCAGAACTAACAGTCTCATGACACTGACACATCATGAACAACCTGATTGGCCCCCTGTTTGTACGTACCAGCACGGTGGGCGTGGCAAAGGTCA